GCCTTGGTGAGAGCCTGCTGGTGGTACAGCACATACGCGAAGCTGACAAAGAAGACTACCGCTAGGAACATGAGAGCCACGAACGCCCGCAGCTTGTAGTCTGTTGGTTTCTTACGCATCTTCTGTGGGATACTCTGGAAGATATTGAAACTATATCACTAACTGTTGCTCCCGGCTTCGTGCGTGTAAAAAATATAGACTATATTACTCACAGATAAATTACCTTCCTAAGAAAGAATTATTAATATCGGCCCAGTAGTTTTTGATGTATTTCAATACATAACAAAATACAAATCTTTTCTCTTTATAATATTAGTATAGAGTACAGATGTAACCAGGATGTTAGTGCTGAAAGCCATGTAGTAGTTCAAGGAGTTCAAGAGAAGATAAAGTGTAAATGGGACGAGTCTAAGTCACTTTTTCCTTTAAAAGTTTAATGTGATCCTTATAGCCAAACCTGTAGTTTCTCCTTTAACAAGCTGGCGAGCGAATTGACTGAGGTAACGGAATTGCTTGGGGAGTAGTCGTCGTCATCCATACTGAACTCGGAGCGGCCCAGTCGACGCGCCCCCTTCCGCCGCGGCGACCGAAGCGGTGACCTGCAATTTTTGATGTATTTACTCTACCACAGCAAACTTTATGGATATTCTGGACCTTTTTGGTTTTATATCTCTGGTATACATTTAGAAATTTGTAACACTGCGGCACTTGATGTTAACCACAGAAATGATTTCGAGTTTCAAACAACTTTGAATCCCCTAGAAGAATGCCTTCTCTCGTCTTCTTTCGCATTTGAAGATTGTCCTAACAATACCAAAAAATAACTATTTCGCTACTTAACGATTTAGTTACTCTCTTATCTCAATTCAGATTCGAGAATCTTCAATTCTGAATATGTGAGCTTCTATTCAGTACTATAATAATAAATGTAAATCTTACTAATATTATAAATGCGAAAATTTTATAATATCAGTAAGAATAAAAAAATATTAGTATAATACAAGAAAGTTAGATGGATAGATGTTTGTTCGATTTTGGAGTCCAAATAGCTGAACGGATTCCTATGAAATTTGGTATAGATGTAGAGCATAGTCTAGAAGAACACATAGGTTACTCACTATTGTTTTTTTTTAATTCTACGCCGACGGAGTCGCGCGCGAAAGCTAGTATGTGTAATAGAAGTTTGTATGACCGTCGGTTGCAAATGTCAGATATAAATCAGCGTCATTTTGTTCGAATAGCGTAAAGTAGCGTCAATTTATATGTAATGCAAGGTCACACGGACACACACGATACTGGAAACGACATCATAATGAGGATACCAACACTCACGCAAACGTATTCTGGAAGTGGCCTGACAACTTTAACGGTATCATGTATTTTAGAGTGCAATTTTAAGACTTCAAAGTAAATAGCAAAAACGCTTAATTATTACTTGTTTTAATTTACAATTTTTAAATAAAATATCTGTTTAGAGCGGGCGCACGCCTTTGACTAAGCTATTGTCCACAACTGTTGTGCGATTGTCGATTGTTTCACAGTCAATTCAATTGTTTAGTTGCACAACTAAAAATCGAATAGTATAACCTCCAAACGCGCGATTAAACAGTTGGACGATAGTTTAGTCAAAGGTGTGCACGCGCTTTATTAACTAGATAAACCAAAACATCTATATATAAAAAATTGCATCAATACAAAGGAACCATTAACTGAACTGGATATTTATGCAAAAACAAGACACTACAATATCCAATAAAAACATGCACATAGCGAAATACTCGTTATGTAAACATAGATAAATAAGAAATCAACACGTTAACTGCGTAACAGGCCGATATCGGCCTGACGCGGTACTTAAGCTGGTGCGGAGCGGACGAAGAAAACTATGTCCCTCTCGCTTGTGCGAAACGATAATCTCAGAAATATGCATTACATTACATAAAAATCAACCAAAAAAATGGGACCCACCTGAAAGCATTACCTTTCGGATAAAAAAAGAATTATCAAAATCAGTCCATTAGCGGTGGAGTTATGCCGTAACACACATAGAAAAAAAACATACAGACGAATTAAGTACCTCCTTCTTTTGGGAAGTCGGTCAAAAATGTATGTTATGTTTCCACAAAGTCATAGCAATTTAATCTTTCCTAGTGCTGGTGGGTCTAGAAAAACCTGCCACGCACTTTTGACTTTTGGACATATCATTGGGGGCGCATTTCGGCCCGCTGCCGCACCATATAAAGAATAATGATTTTATTTGCCGCAGTAAACGTGTTAATAGTATTGAACGGCTACATTTATTGTTTACGTTTATTGCTTATATTAGAAGACAAACACGACCAACGATTGATAATTATTCCAAGACTAAGAAAACCGTTATGTCATTAAAATTAAATGAAGTATTTGTAGAAAAATTAAGTCAGTATATAGTAAACAATGCAATTATCTTTTAAATTATTGCTATGTTTGTTTTGTCAGATAATTACATATTTTATAATTAATTAAAAACCAAGCAAACACGCTAAAATGTCCAAAGAACAACAAATGTAACTACTACAAAACAATTGAATGCATTGAAATAATAATAACAATATTTTTATTTGCATGAAATTTCTAAAATACAATAACACTCACAAATTAAACTCCATTTATCAATCATGCTTTCAAATTTAAATAAAAAATAACCTCAAAAATATACTTACAAGAATAACACACCGGAATTCCAGTATACGCCACTGTTTATTATTTATATAAACAAATAAATAAATGAAGAACTATATTTAGTTTAAAAATATTTAAAAAAATCCGAGAGAAAAGTCTCCGACGAACGCAAAATCGTAACTGAACCAACCGACGCTCCGTCTCCGTACGCAAGAAGTTCGTTCGCGAAACTCCGTTCAGAATTGTTTTGAATGAAATTATAATTATTTATTTTTTAATTATATAAGTCATCGTAATGTGATGGTATTATTTATGACTTTGTAGCATAATATCGCATTTAGTTGCATTAAATCTTTAAAAAGCATTTAAGTTTTAGGTTATGTTATCTAGATCTTTCTTTTAACTTTCTCTAGAAGCCCTTTCGAATATTGAACATGTAACAGTTTTCTCAGACTCACAGGTGTAGTTTCTCAGAAGTACATTCGTTAACAAAATGTTTACATGCAATATTGTTTATGTTTTTTACAACGGTGGTAGCGTTCGTCCGGTTCATTGACGGCAAGTAATAATATTTTAATCAAATTCAAACGATTGACATAAATTGTGATTTTCAGATAAGCGTGCGCACATATTTGACTAAACTATCGCACAACTGTTTAGTTTCGCTTTGGTTCCTATGAGCTTATATGGATTGGAAATTACAAGATTTTTAGTTGTGCAACTAAACAGTTGAATTGGCTGCTAAACAATCGACAAACGCACAACTGTTTTGCGGTAGTCACTAATATTATAAATGCGAAAGTTGAGATGGATGGATAGATGGATGTTAGAGTTTGTAGCCTAAACGGCAGAACGGATTTCGATGAATTTTGGTGTAGATGTAGAGGATAGTCTGGAAGAACACATAGGCTACTTACTTTTGTTGTTTTTTTAATTCCACGCCAACGGAGTCGCGGACGAAAGCTAGTTTATAAAAATTCATTTAGGGGTTTACTTTTGTATATAATCTACATTCCAGAGAAATTGATTTATTTCATCTGTGATTTATAATGATTATAATCTAGTAAATAGCCGAATTGCCGCATATTGTTATGCATACTACAATCACTACTTCAAATAATAAAAAATAATGTTTAACGTAATTAAAAATCAACGAACCTTTCGGTGTATAGACACAGACCTCTATCCATGCGATTACTAAACAGAATAACCTAAAATCTATAATAACTAAGTTTAATTACTATAATAAATGCACAAGGTTATTTCTGTCGTTCGTATTACTAATTTACTAATGACAAAACTGATTTAAATCAAAATCACACTTTTTATTTAAAAAGATTGTGTCAAAATTGTATAAAACAGTAATTAAAAGAAAATATCTAAGCATTTAATTTGACTAATTTTAATATTTTGTATCGATTATAAATATTAAACAAACAGACGTTTTGATTTGATGTCAATATATTTATTTAATTAGGTCGATATTCGCCAATACTATAACAAGATAATAATTTTATCGCTAAAGGAATATTTACTCAGATTTAAGAACAAATTAACTTTGTAGTGCGTAAGATGAAATAATTTCAATAAAATTTCCAAAACAATAAAAAAGGAATTAAATAACATCGATTGCATAAATAAACAGCAAAAGAAATTTCATTTAATCTTTAATAAATTTACTGCGTAATTAAAAATTTAACTACACTACGCATATTGAAGTTACATAAATACTGTAATATACGTATACACTGCAACGATACTGTATTTATTATCTGTATACGTGTAAGTATAGGATTCCCGCGCAAATCTGACAGATGACAGATGACAAATCGCGCCCTCTGATCACATAATGGCAGGCGATGTGTGTCAATTGGTTATTCCTACACTGACCGGCGCGACAGCGGCGATTCGCACGGACTTGCATTGGTAACAACATGAATACTTTCTTTCATGTAATACTAACATCTAAGATACGAAATTACAAAAAGAATCACGTAAATAGTTCTTTTAAATGGTTCCGAAATTGATTGGGGAACATCTTATTAACAGATGGAAATCTAATTTTGATTTGAGTCAAATTTAACATTTTACAAATGAGTGTCACTAGCCGATAATGTAAGAAGGGGGCGTAGGGCTATAGTTAATAGAGGGCTAGAAGTAAAAATACTTCACTCCAAAGAGAATGCTTAACATGTGGGTCTAGTTTATCATTTAAATGTCTTTGGGATTTATCATAACCTTAGTTTATTTTCCATTTTTCGACTCTCTAGGGGTGGGGGGCCATAAACTGTCTTCCCATGTGAGGCAATTTAAAACGAAACTTACAACTTATTGAATTTCTGTGTTATTGTCGCTTATAAACCATCTAGGAAATGTTCCATATATTAAAACAACCGTCCAGGTTTACACAATAGCGTTGTTAAATTGGCTTACAACAAAGGGAGCGAATAGAGATTACGGCGAGGCGAAAGATTGCACACGGGACCGGGTTCAACGACCGGATGCACTTCCTTATTAAGTAGTCCCTTAAGATTGAGTGCAGACTGCCCCCCCTCCCTTACACTCTGCCCCCCACGCATTACTTGCGTAAGTCAATACTTCACAGACCTAGCATATCGTCAAATCCAATCCTATAAAATGTTACTTCTCCGTCGTAATAAAAATGTTAACGTAGTTTTTCACTGTCAATACACTTCTATACGTTATTTTTATTCATGTCGTACTATTTGAAAATAAACAAACTGTATAACAATGTTATAAAAAATCTGGATTCATAAATCAGAACACGCTGTTTTAAGTCCAATATCAACATATATTTACAAACATATAGTTGTCTCGATTTTTCTAAGAGAAAGTAAGGGATAACACTATGTACAGTTAGGGAAATTGTCGGTGTTCCACTATATAGAGAAGATTGCTCGAACATTTTGCCGCTTTGACACAACGTCGCATACCAAAAACAATAATAAAACGTGGCTTTTAAATGTGTCTGGGCGAAAAAAAGTGCCCCTCGTTTACGTAAATAACTTTTAGCTATAGTTATTTGTAAGAAGAGGCGGAAATTGTCTCGTTGCAAGAAACAAAAAAAGTGTATTTCAAAGCGGGACACTGCAGTTTTTCTCGATTGTACAAGTGTAAAAGTGTGATCTAAACCAACATATAAAGCGTCTACTCACTTGACTCTATCATCATCGGATACCACATTGCTATCATCACCATTGCCATCACTGAAGCCAGAAGCAGTGCTCTGATGATGCTCAGGTATCTGTAACATAACACCATAAAATATAGCATGACGGATTCTTTTTGTTTTTAGTAATAATATATTATTTTTCTGACTATCTGTTTCTATGTCATTCGGTTGGAACATAAAACTTTTCTTATAAATGCGAAGGATAGAAGTTACTACGGATCTAGAGAACGCAATGGATTTCGCCGAAAAGCACAGATATAGGGCATAGTTTGAAAGAAATTTGGACTAGTAGCTTTTGCTCGCGAATCCGTCCTCGTAGAATTAAAAAAAATAAATTGAGTAGCCTATTTGTTCTTCCAGACTATCCTCTACATCTTTACCAAATTTCGTCGAAATCTGTTCCGCCGTTTTGGCTACAAACTCTAACAAAAATCCATCCATTTATCCATCTAAACTTTCGCATTTATAATATTAGTATGATTTCGTATTTTAGTTTCACGAGAACGAAATCACGGGCGACAGTTTCTTTAATAATACTTTATTAGTTTTGATGTTTAGATTTTGTTATCTAAGACTGTTAGTACATTATACTTTTCAAGCAGTAGGATAAAGGCTAAAGTCTGTTCTGAAAACAAAAAGCAAGGCTAACCTGTGTAAGTGGGATGCAATCAGAATAGTTTCTTTTGACGCCGCGCATGCTCGCCTGTCGCCCGTTTGCCGTCACAGCGGCCAACTCAATTAATACTAATTACAATTTGCAACTCAGTTTTTAGCTTATACCTAAGTCTGGATCTGGGTCTAGATCAAGGACAACACCCTGATGACGCTAAACTGTAAACTTGATGGTTGTATTGAAGTCCCTTATGAACTGGCAGAAGAATTAACGGATCTTTAATTTCTTCATTTTAGTTTTTCTTGTCTTTGACAATTAAAGTGTCAGGCTTTCATCAGTTTTGGGGTAATTTAGATGAATAGAGGGCCTCGATTAAAATCATTATCGCAAATATTGTTAATAAAAGTACAATATCAAACAATTAAAATAATGTTCACTGAACTTTATGTTACCTGGATAAAGTGCCATCTATTACCGAAAAATACAAACTAATTATTATTTCGTCAAATTAAAGTTACAGGAAAATTTCGCATTATTACAAAATTAACTAAATGTAAAATAAAGCATTAGTTATTAAAAATTGGAGTATCAATAATAAAATCAATCCATTTTCATAAGCGCCATCTATTGACGACACGTTAAAAAAAATTGTGTTTCCAAATAAATCCGTAGTTCATTGTTTCATTATAGATGGCGCTAAAACAAATAGCAAAATGTCGAACGAACATCATCTGTTGAATATTTAAAAACATGTAATTGAATTAATAACCTTTGAGTCCAAATAGTTGTTGACACTACCAGAGCTATCTGAATTGCTGCTGGCAATGCTACCAACGCTGTCATTGAAACTGCCGCTGCCGCTGCCGCTGTCGCTCTTGCTTAAATCCGAGTCAGACTCAATCCAAAGCGGCGAACGATATTTGAATTTTTGAGCGAACGCGTTAAATCGAGACTCGTTATTCATATTTCTTATTTAACTCAAATTAATTTACAATCCACACTAACTTTTAACATCACTCACACTTTTAAAACTCGTAACGGTTTTGTAAATACTGACTGAACATTATTTTGTGTTTATGTAACAATTCCACGGAACAATAAATGCTTAATATTTTATAGTTCACTGAATATTAACAATAGTTCAAACAAAAAAGGCGTATATTGTTAGAAAGGTTAGGTGCGGGAACTAAGTCTGTGCGGGGTCTAAGATCACGGACAAATTCAAATGAATTGAATGTAGGCAAATAGGTCGCTTGGGGATTGACAACCGCGGCTTTACATATTTTTTATTTTAATATTTACATTGATATTAGAAATCGGTCTTTTAATAAAATATGAAACCAAGTAATTGACGAAGATTTTAATATATTTTAAAAGACAAAACATCCCTCACAATTTACAACAATTTTATTGTGTTTTTTAAGATTTAAGATTTTCGAAAAATCGGCATCATATAATTTGACCTTTATTAAAAAAGAAAGCAAATGTATTTTTTATGGCCGTGTTAAGATAACACGATGTCGTATTTAACTTCCTAGGTTATTGACATTTCTAATTAAAAAAAATAACCAACTTAATTTTAAACATTAATATACAAACAATAGCATTGATAACTTTTTTAGAGGTATAAGTATGAAGAAAGCTATTATTAGCGGAGTGTAGGGCTATGGGACACGCCCAGTCAGAAGGACGCCATTTTGTGCTATCGGTAATGATAAAACCGACCCTGGACATAGCTGTAAGCCTTACGAAGATATGCCGATGACTCCCATTAACATATACGTATCCTGTGCTCGTTTGAAACGCGTGACGTCACAAGGCCATCAGCAAAACTGCGCACGAGTAATACTAAGATGGCTTTCTTATGTAATCGCATTCAATATCTAAATCTTATAATAGTAAAACAAACTCGCCTAAAACAGTGGCAAATATGTGTACACTATGACGTAAGTAACGTATTTCGCATGATTTATCATTGTGATATACATAAATACCAAAACTTAATATTTCTATTGTAAATAACTCTCAATTAGAACTATATAATAACAAAAAACAATAACCAAAACATTGTGGTATCTAAACGAACAGCAAGCAAATGCATTTGACCAAAGTAATGTAATTTGTTAATTGATAAATCTAAAATAATATTGCATAAAAACTGTGCTGCCGAAGTTGAGCAACTCAGCCGGATGTGGTCAAGCAATTTGTATAATCTGTGTGCGGACTGCGGAGTGGTCCGTCAGTGTCACAGCGCGGGATACACCGAGAGGTTCCCGCCAAAACCCACGTCACTAGGGCTGACAATAACGAGAAATACGACGACCTTGTGATTTTTTAACCTCTTCGCAGTTTAAAACCGAAGACAACTCTTAACAACTACAGTATATTGTTAGATAATTTAATACGTTCCAAACAAATCGGTTCCGGAAATGGTATAGTTGTTTTATTGTTTTTTATAACGTTCGTTCAGAAATGTTCGTTAAAAATATTATTTTTGTTTTAGTCAGATATGTTCGAATCTAGAAAGAATTAATAATAATAAACGTTTACAATTTAGTAAGTTTTTTGTTCTGTATTTTAACATGTTATGTTGATTAGATAATGTTTGTTTTATTATTTGCAGATATGCGGCAATTTTGGGGTCAACTGATATAATTAAACAATTAAAATTAGTCTTTTAATTATTATAAATGCCTACGCTCTCGTCTTAAAACTCTTATAAATAAATAGTTTAAAGCTAAAATCAGTTGCAATAAAACTCACGTTAATATCTTCCTTCTGCGTTCCTTCAAAAGTTTTTATTCTGTCTGGCATCGAAATTGATGCTCTTTTCAACTTTCTATAAACTACAGGGCTGTCACTACCGATTGTTACATTATTGTCCGATATCCCGTCTTTTGTAGTAATTTCAACCGGTTCTGCGAATTTTACTTCAGGTGTGGGAGATCTTAGTTCAGTAGGAGATCCTATGGAGGTAGGACTACCGATTCTAAAACTAACAGACGGTCCTTCCTCATCTTCGTCGATGTATTTGATATCATTCGGTGTTCGATTTGCTTCGAGAATCAAACGCCGTGTCTCCGGAGGCATTTCCACATAATCGTGGGGATATGAAGGAATGTTTAACTTGAGATCTGGTTTCTTCCGCATCATTTCGCGTTATCTATCTCACAAATATTGTCTTTGACTTCACTTCCAATACAAGATAAGATATCTTAATAATTCAAGGCAGTGTGGACATTATAAGAAATTTTACATCACCTTGATTACAGACACTACAATAGATAATTAAAACACTTATTTCTTTGGTTTATTAGCGACCGTATATACAGATCTTTACCTGCGCGAGCGAACACTGTAATAAGTGTTTAAAATATCGCTAAACATTTCTTTTCGTTTATCAAACGATATCTTTGGTTATATCACGTGGTATGATAGCATTAAAGTCGATTTTTATTTAATGCGTTTATTTGATTTTGGTATTAGTGAACGAAGAGCTCTTTTTTAAAAATTGTTTATTTTAACAAAAGGCAATGGACCTATCTGTTTCTATTTTCGGATTTTTTGAATTAAATTCACTCTTATATGTTTTGTTGTCTACAAGATATGATTTTTTACGTCTTAAATCAATATATTAACAACAAACCAACAAAAAAAACGCTAATTTGTCAAAAAATTAGGGAATCGTTTTGTAGATGTTGAATATTTTTCCGAATTACAATTAAATTTATTTGCTATTATTTTCTGACAGGTGTTATTTTGAAATAGATTTAGTAAAATGTTCATATTTCAAATATTTAACCAGGAAATTATTGAGTTTTACACGAAAATCAAAGGCCATTGCTTTATTTAATGACGTAATAACACATATACAAATCATCTGGCGAAATTCAACAAAAGAAATTAACCTGCATCCATATATATATTTTAATTACTTTTTATTTATTTAAGATAGACGTCAACAGATAAAAAAATGCGTTTCTTTGTTCTTTATCTCATCCAATAAAACCGCAACCTACATTTAGTTGTTGATTTAATTTACAATCTTTAGGAATTAAAGCCGCGAGATATGATAGATAATCCATCTGATAGCACAGAAAATGTGCAATTAAATCTTTAAAATGCCGCTTTTAGAAACGTTCGCTAAGGGGAACGTAGATTGCTAAATCGGAAAACCTGACTTTGACAGCAGAAGGAATTATTGTGTAGAAATTAATATATTTTTTAAATGAAGGTGTAGAAATCTTGGTGCCGGAGGCCTAATTTTAGTCCCTTTCCCTTTTTCACCCTTTTCTTAAGTGGAAAGGATGGAAAGGAAAAGTGGATTTGACAGTGGAAGGGACGCATAGAAAGGAGAAATGTCCTCTTTATGTGCGTTTCCTATGTCAATTAAGGGTAGGCAACGCATCTGCAATTGTGGATGTTTATGTGCAGCGATCGCTTTCCATTTCGGTGGATCCAGGTGGCCGTTTGCTCGTTTGCCACCTGATAATATATAAAAAAAAATCTAGGTTTAAGTTCAGTCCTAGATAATAGCAATCTCTCTAGGCCTAGTAAGACCTATATAGATTTGTCACCTCTATAATCTAATCTGTTACGTCTTAGCTTAACGCGTTGTCCAAACAGCATTATATCTCTCTACGCTAATTCGTAAAGTCTATTAACATAGTTATGTACATAATATACTGTATTTAACATACATATGCCTACTTTTAAGGTATATAGGACTAATACGAATTAACAGTAGTAGTGCCCGCTTTAACATTTTAGCACTGCAGGGCCGGCACGCCCGGTGTAATACCACGACCACACAGAAGACATGCGTGAAATGGAAGCAATTCCGTATTTCGTCTTTCTTTCTTATGAGAGGTTGAGAAGAGGAAGTGGATTTGACGGTGGAGGAGAAGCATAGGAAGGGGAAATATCCTCCTTATGTGCGTCTCCTGCAATTGCGGATGTCTATGGACAGCGGTCGCTTCGCCATTTTGGCGATTTCCTCCGAATAGTTCCTACAACTCATTGCTGACGTTTGTAAGGCGCAGAGTTAGTCTCGTTGCAACTGACACGGCAATGTTTCATAGGTGGACACCGCGAAATTACCTGATTGTACATTCTTATTTTTGTAAAATCTTTTTAAACTAAAGGCAAAGTAAAATTTGACTCACCCCTTCCTCTGGATTGCTTAAGTAGTGTTGCTTTAAGACTTCCGATTCTAAATTCTGTAATGTCGGCATTGATATCGAATTCCTTCTTAATCCCGCTCTTCTTTGTTCTACTTCCTTCTCCATAACTGTCATGTCACTTGATTCCTGCGCACCGAATGCTTTCGACGTGCTTGGAGAAGATTCTGATACATCAGTAGACTGGGTGTTAGGGCTTGTAGGACTAGACTTAGATTCAGGGTCCAAAGTAATGTACAAGGTCCCTTCTGGAGTGTTAACTACTATAGTATCACTGTTAGGTGTATGAACTGCCCCTAAATCGTTGGCGTGTATTTTGTCCTCTTTCCGCTGCTGGGGTTTCACATTTTCCATCTCATGTTTTCGTAAATCAAGTTTCGGTCGTGTTTTGTTTTCTTCGAGTTCAACGCAATCGTCTACAAATGGTATTGTTTTGTTTGATTTTAATTCAGGGGAATTTAACCCTTTTGCAACTCCTTCGAATGGACTGTTGGGTGCATTGTTGGCCATTTTTACTCTATATCATAGTAGATATCTGTAAAAAGAAATAAAAACACTTTTGTAGTTCAATTATTGAGACAATATAACAGTTTCCGACTGCAACGCATGTTAGTTTAATAAAAAATATCAATTTTCCTTAAGTTTTTCAGTAACATTGTAAAGAATTAATTAAAAAGTCAACGACATAAGTAATTAATAATAATACTTTTAACTTGCATGTTATTTTTTTTAATGTACAACAAAATATTTATTTTAAACTTTACCTCGGATACACCATATTTAAACGAATTATTACAATTTTAATTTAATAATACGAGATGTAACAACAATTGTAATGTAACAAAACTAAATTGTACACCTGAGTTATTTGTGGTGTCGGTTCGATGATTAGCGGCCGCCATATTTGTTGT